AGGTATCAAAGATGTTTATGAATTGACAGTTTTGTAGAAACAGAACTGATAACTATTTGATGACTATGAAGAAACCAGAGAACAAACTAACACCAAATACATGGAACTAACTCTTCACAAAGTGGAGTTCAGGGGTAGGACAATGCCAGATGAGCAGAATGAGTGAGGAAGCTACAGGATGGGCTTTGAAACTGCAAGATTTCACACACACAGAAGAACAGATGTCAGAAAGATGAGGGTGTGGGTTCTCTGTGAAGACAAAGAGGAACTGCAGACAGGAACCAGCATATGGACAGTTGGAGGAAAGGGCCTGCAGGAGAGGTAATTCTGGACAGTGAGAAGCACCGTTGAAAAGGTCACTCCAGAGCCAGGATTGAGGGGCTTTGAAGCAGAGAGTGCCTGAAGAGAAGGCAAGAGAACGTCCATGTACAACGTCATGGTGGGTAACGACATGGGCATGGTTAGTGTTTAATTGTTTAGATGGTTATAAAACAGGCTCCTTGAAGATTTGTTAAAGGCATGGAACTACTTGTGAGAATTAAAACCAGAGACGAGACACAAAAATGACTCACTAAGCTGGAAATTTGGTATGAAGTTCAGAAGAATGTTCAGGACTAGACATGCAAAACTAGAAATTACCACTTTCATATTTCTTATTTTGTTGTTGTTCTTTTGGTGTATTGTGTCTTGGTCGTCTGTTCTGTCTCACAATTTGCATAGAAGAAAACAAAAATAAATGAGGTAAACTAGTATGAAAATTGGAGTAATGAAAAACTGGGAAGCAAGCGGAATAGTGAGGAAGGCTGAGAAGTAGGTCCTGCAAGAACCCTTACAAGTGTGAAATAAGTGAGCAGACTGGACACCAATAGCTTGAGGTTTAATTAATCAATTACCTTTATATCCAATTCAATTTATGGGGCACTAATTACGTTCCAAATATCTTGGGGATATACATGACCTGTTCTCTCCCAGAGTCCACAATTAAGTAGGAGAGAAGGGGAAGCCAAAATTTGCTGAAGACTGATCACAATTGTGTATTCAAGATTCAAAGATGATAAAGGTGAGAAAGATTAATGAGAACTTGGGAAGGAGATTTGAGAAAAATGACAGAACACATTGTACCCACACCCCCAAATGTGAGGAGGCTGTGTGGAAAGCCAGAGAAGGGAACAGTAGGGTGATAAGTTATCCCAAGTGAAGAAAAAGCCAAGTGTAGTGACATAAAACGCACTATAAAAAAGACTAGAATTGGATGAGGTCCCCAAGGTTATCCATGTCAAAGGAACAAGAAACTCTTGCTCAATCACCTGTCACTTCTGGAGAGAAGACTGCAAGCATTGCCTCATTTTTGAGGAAACAAAGATGGCCAGTTATCAAAGAAAGTAGTCTGACCTCACCTACCACCCTCTCATTTATCAGCAGAGAAAATTAAACTCTATAAAAGGAAACTATTTTCTTAGATGTATCTGCCACCAAAAATAAATCAAATACACTGTCTATTCATTTCACTTAGTTTAAAAGTTTGACCTCTTTAACTGAAATACTTACATCACATTCTATCTTTTCATCACTCTCTTATTTAGGATGTTTTTCTTTGCTATAGATTCATTTAGACACATATACTTCCTACCAAACTGCTAGTTTTTAGCACAGAAATATATTAGCTTAAAAGCACTTGCAGAAATATTTAAATCCCTCACAGGTAAAGTGAGCACATGTATGGGTCCATGGCTTTCTATGGGGAGTCAGACACTAGATAATTCCTGAACATTGCGATTCAAAAAGGTAAAGTTTAGCCAGAGGATAAAATTATTTCAAACAATTTGGGAGGGATAATATAGAAATTCTTATTTTGTCACAGTATTATTTTTAATTATTTGCCTAAGTTCAGGTATTAAATTACTCATCATATTCAAAATACCTTAATATAAAAATCACCTTTCATTGTAAAGTGTCCATTGTAGCTATATTAGAACCAGCACCTTAGAAAAGATTCAGATGACTCTTCCAACTGACACGCACACACACACACACACACAAACACACAGCTTCCCATAGGTAATTATTATACCTATGAATATAGCAATGAACATCGATTATGAGGAACTTTAGCTTATCTCCAAAATACCTTTCATCAATGTGACACTTGAAACACCAGATGTAATTTTATGTAGCCAACTTTCCACAACAATTTTCATAAATTCATAGTTTAGCCAATAGTTATTTATTTCAAAGAGAGGCCATATACTCCAAGAAAGGAGGGGGACACCTATCAAAGATCTCTTTAACTCCTCAGCAGTCCAATTTCAAGCCCAGAGAGAAAATATCAATGGGTGAAGATTTGTTAATTCTTCCAAGGACAACAAATAAAGAGGAAAAAGATTATTTTAAAAAGTGTCATTGTAAACATACTAAGTATGTTTCAGACTTACAAAGATTCTTGTATGAGACAAACGACATGTTACTCTATGGACATAAAGGTCAGCTAGTGTTACCGAATATTTATATAGCTTTTTTATCTTCCTCTTTTTATGTGCTAAAACAAACAAACAAAAAATTCAAATTCTACTGCTTTGATATAAATACCTCAACTAAAATTACACTTTACAAGTTTTCAGTCATCAAATAGGTGGAACATTCATCCCAAATAACTACATGAAACACAGCTGGGTTATATTGGGCCAGAAACCGGGTAAACAAGGCTGCCTCAGAAGACACTGGCATGTGTGGAGGAGAAGTTTTCCGAAAGACTGGTGCCTCCTTCCTATGCACAGGGGTACACTTCTAACAGGTCAATTCTCCTAACACCAGTTATGTGCTCTGGGCTGACTGGAGAGGGAGGAGGCCGATTCTCCCAAGGGTGTAGTTGACTGGGGATCCCTGGCAGGACTCCAACCCCAAGACATGTCAAAGTAGCTCAAACATTCCTGGTAGAGGGGCTGGAATTTCTACAAAAGCAGAAAGTTCTCTGGGCTTGAAAGAATTCTTTTAAAATTAGGAAACATGTAGCCTTAGAAAGTAAGGTTTTGGTAGTTTCATCACGATCAGACAAGAACAGACACACAGAGGGGCTGCTAAACACTCCTTCTGATACTGTGGGTGCATACAGCTGTCTCTCCTTCAGTGAGGCTGACCAGTAATGCTTCCCCAAATCAGAATTGGCTTTGCACCTGACAGTCGCCATTTTCCAATCGTTTTGGTGAAGATAGTTTAGGTGATTAGACTTTATATATATTTCTTCAAAAACTATCTGGTTCAATTCCAAAGTTACTACTATCCAGAAATTTTCATTGCTATCACTGAGATAGTATTCTAAATTAAAACAACAATGGTAAACATGTTCCTTCTTTCTGAATTTAGATACCAGTTTTCATCTCACTGAAATAGTCAAATTTATTTGCTAAAATAGGTCATCCTACCAACTATTTCCTCTTCTGTAAAACAAACAAAAAAATTAAACTTAAATGATGGAATTAATTCCTCTTGCTATCTATCGCTATGTATCTATAGATATATAGATGTAGATAATGAGTGTGTATGTACATTTATATATATACACACATACACATATATATATGTATCAAATATTAGCCATGTATTGGATTTTGTATGTTCTCCTTTTGTCCATATATACAAATTATAATTATTAATATTTCAATCTGAATTTGGAGAATAAAATACATTTATCAGTCTGATATGATAATTATACTAATAAGGTGAAAAAGCTAAGAATGACCCTGAAGTAACCTTCCTATAAGCAGGACTTCCTATTCAAATTAATCAGAGCACAAGGAGAATATAAACTGCTTACTCGCTAGTTGTCAGTCTCAAAGGTTGTGTATTCAATTCATAGAATCACAGAATTGTAATGTTAGGAAAACACCATGGAATTATCTAGTCCATTCTCCTCACTTGACAGGTCAGAAATTTGAGGTCATTCTTTTTATGTATACCCTGCCAAAATTAAAATTATAATTCAACTCAATACTTCTATGAACACATTTAGGTTTTGAAGATGCCTGTTAGTACAACTAAAACCCCTTTTCAAAAGACTCAAAAATTTCTATTCCATGCATCTTATAGTAAATACGAATTGTGTATCCCTTGAATAATGTCACCACTACTGAATTCAAACTTGTCTTTAAGAATCTATAACTTAAGTGAGAAATGACTGTGCTACATGTTTTTTAAATACCTAAAGGACATTGACAGCTAATGCTATATTTAACACATAAATATTGGTTAAGCAAATGACTGTTCTGGATATTAGTGTGGCAAAGTAAATACAAGAAATGAAACATGAAGCTCCTCTGCTGGTTTCCTTTATTTTAATAGTTGTACTTTGTGGTGTTTATCAGCACTTAGATTCATCATGGTTTGTTATCATAGGATTTTTACCTGAAGTCCTCACAAGAATAGATACCACCCTTACAGCATTCTATTCTGAAGGCTCTAAAAGTACACTGGAAATGGTCCAACGGCAGCAAAACTGAAAGGAAACCTACCATTAACTAAAGACATTTTAACCTGCGTAACCACTTACACACTCCTCCTTCTCTTTCCACTTTAATTTAAGCTTATTTCACTACTGAATCATATGGCCATTTTTTTAAAGATTTATTTATTTATGCATACAGAGCTGGGGTACAGGCCAGAGGTGCAGGGGCGGTGAGAGGATTCACCAGAGACAGAGTGGGGAGCAGAAAAGGCTGACTGATACTGCTGAGGGGAGCAGTGGTCGGGTCAGAGAGGTCTGCCCGGGCCATGTGGGTCACCTCCCGGGGCGAGGATCAAACTCATGCTGAAGTAGCTTTTGCTTCTTAGTGCTGTGCTTTAACCCACTGTGCCACCAGGAGGGGCCCCATATGGTCATTTTAACTAAATGTTGCTGCTTGGAACACCTGCTCTCTTCCAGTGTGCCCTCACTCTTTCCCAGATGTTCTTAGTCCTAGTAAAGAGCAGTCTGGGCATCTAAACATCTGAACAATTTGAAATCTTACCATCCAGCTCCTGGTCCACGTAGCAATACACGTCATAAGTTTCGTGAGGAGACCGGTAACCATAGGTCCTGACTCCTTGCTTTCCCATCATATCTCCATAACAGCCTACTCGAGGGTTCCGAATGGGATATCTGGGGAAACAAGGGTTAGTAAGAAACACTTTCTTTTCAATCAGCAATTAATGAAGCAAGGCTGTGGCCCCCACAATCCTCACCTCACGCTCCGATCCGACAGCCAGCCTGCATCACACTGTTCAAATCCATCTTCATAGGCAGCAAAGAGCTGTTCTGGGGTTGCTATGACAGCCCCAACATCTTTACAAGCCTTCTGTGCCGTCTCAAAGGTCAGCGTGTACCTGCTGGTGGATGCCCGGTAGTGAAACACAACCCCTGTGAAGATGGCAGCACAGTTACAAGCATGTTCAAATTCCCACCTTACTAGGCAAAATTTGTCATTGAAGCAATATATTCAATTAACTGCTAACAAACATTTTCATTTTATGTAGCATTGTGCAAAATCATGGTGATTTGAGGAGCCCCAGAAATGTCATTCACTGGATGCCCCAATCTGCTCCATGAGGGAATTTCTTAGCCAGGATTTCTATAAACAATCTAAGAAAAAGACTGGTGGATAGCTGTCCTGATGACAGGCAGCTTTCAGGCTATCTACGAACCGAAGGAAATAGAAATTGATAAGGGGTCAAAAAATTGACTTCTACTACTTCATGATTTGACCAAGGGCCAACACAATAGAAGCTAATGGGATATTTCCTGATTCCGCTGAGCTATTTACTTCCAGAGATGACCCACTAAGATTGAACAGAGAGTGGCCAATGTATGTGTGAGAAAGCTGTTCCAATCTCGAAGTGGCTCTCTAATCACATACAAGCCCTTACTCACATACTGCACCTTAATTTCCTTATTGCTTATGTTAGTCATTTGCTTAATGTGAATGTCAAATTAGTTAAAGGATTTAAAATGCTGGGTAGATTACTAAGTACTATCCAGATGCTTTTAAATATTCATGATTTCACCAACATAACTTACGGTCTCTGCACTAGAAGACAAATAGCTTGACTTTTATCCCAAAGAAGGACTGAAATAGAGTTTTCCAGACTCCCCTGGGTAAAAGCCAGATACCCCAATATTTGCCACTTTGTTATACTTTAGGAATTGCCTAAAGTAGTGGTTCCTGAACTATCTCCAGGGCACAAGCGATGGCCAAAGGGGTGAGGAGCAGATGAAGGGTTGGAGCTTTGGATCTTCTCCTCCCACTTCAACAGTGGCAGCTCTATTTTTAACTGGAGTAAATATGGTGACTCATTTTTACAAGACTGAAATGTGAGAGAAACTGATGTGCTTGAGCCATCACTGGAAAGTAGAAAATAGTGTAATGAGTTATTAAGAAGGAGATTTTATAGACCCAAATCATAAGGCCACTTTTTTGTTGTTAAATGGAATGAGTTATTATTTCTAAGACACCTTCCACTATCATTGTATTTTCTTAGTAATGTCTGGAGTTGACAGCAGTCCACTGCTCAGTCTCACTTCCACACAAGCCTGCCTTCCACAAACCCATTCATAGATTGTCTCTCTCTTTCCAGACAATTATGTCCAACATCATGACAGGGCAACAGGCTAACATGTCATAGATAAGCCATTGTGACAAGTGTCAACACAAAAAGACCTGTGCTCACAACAAGTAGATGCACTCACAACTTGCATCCATTTTTCCATTTCTGATGCTGCAAAGAAACTTTCATCAAATGCCTTTCAGAAAAATTGTGCCGTGATAGAACTGTACTAAAATGATCAGCAAGTTTAAAGAAAAGTGCTATCTGGTATGAGAGGTAACTTATAAAGATCTCTAAAGCTTAAGGAAGAGTTTGAGGACTTTAAATTAATGTCATGCTGTTCAAAGACCCAAATAGACTTCTTGGCAATTAAAAATCTTGCATAATCATTGGAGATTGGCAGGCAGGAGGCACAAAGGAGCTTCCATAATCTGCACTCCTTGTAATCATTTGAAGACGTCATGGGGCTAAGAAGATTAAGTGGACGAATTTCATTGTTTCAGGGGAGCAAAGTGGGAGGGAAATACACTGATAAGTTTTCAGTGATGAAAATGGTAAGAATTTGTTAAACTTGTTTCGGGATTTAAAATAGATATATTCTATACATGTATAGATAGTGTGTATTTAGCACCATATATGCAAAGGTAGATATAGAAGGAGAGCAGGATAGAAATATCAACAGGATAAAATGGTCTCGGCTTAATTAAAACATATGATAAAAAGGCCAGAAGAGCCCAGAGCCCAAGATATTTAGGGGATGCTTGGACAACATAAAAATAGATTTATACAAGGAAGCAACCAATCTAAATGTAAAGGGATGTTCAGGAAGTTAATTTGTTGCATCTGAAATGCAAAGAATGTCCTTTTGGCTAGACAAGAAAGAGTTTTAATAAAACCCTTTGTATATATATCTGAAAGGTAAATATTTTATAGGGAAATGGAGGGTTGTAAGAAACTCTGTTCCATCTTGCCTGGTTATTAGAATTTTGCTTAATAACTTGCCAAAATATCATGCTTCCGAGAACTATGCCATTAAGTGGGCACACAATTAAAGCAATCTTTCTTTGCTTTGTCTCTCTTAACTTAAATTCAGATGACATAGAAACAACCAGTGAAAGGCAGATGAAGCTACAATGCTTCATTGAAAAACAAAATGGGGAATAGTAATGTATCAAGCTTTAAAAAAATATTTCTTGAATTCTTACTTTGAACCAGTTCAAATGTTTGCGGAGTGTTGGCTGTTTTAAGGCACTGTGACATACACCATGGTATTTATTAGGTACTGAGAAGTACCAGTTTCCTCAATGAAAATTAAAATAGAATTTAAAAACAATCTCAAAGAGATGAATTGTTCTGGAAGAATGAAAAAAAGGGGAGAAAATGATTTTGTGCTCGTGCATGGATGTTTGTGTGTAAAAATTGAATGCAAAAATTAAAACAAAAGGCAGATCATCCTTCATAGTTTTGAAAAGCAATCAGCAATAGGTCTCAATAATCATAGTGATTCCTTAACTATACACCGTCTGAAGCTATTCACTGTTTCCAGTACACTCTACTGCTTTGTTTCAATAAAACTGCTGCTGCTCCCAACGTCCCCTTTGCTCCCATCGTCTCATTTTTGGCGGGCAGCATGATGTTCACTAAAAAGGTGGATATTCTCCACCTCTCCAAACCTTGAATAACCACTTGTTTTGTGCATTGCTTTACAGCACTTCTGAATTACAGATTTGGAGCCTTACCATCCACGGCCAGTGACACCGTGTCCTGGGTGTCTTCAATCCCATACATGACGTCACAGCGGTAGAGGCCTGCGTCACTCCCACGTACTTTCACTATAGTGAGCGAGGCGTCCCCCACATTCTCAGGGTGTGTGGGCACCGACACTCTCCCTTGGAAACCCTGCCCAATCTTGATATTCCCATCTTGGGCCACAAGAACAGTAGTCTCCTTTAAATCTTTTCCATTTTTGTCCACTTCCATCTTAGACCACTTGATTCGGAGAGATTCACTGGTGGTGTTAGAACTGGGTGGTAAAGTAGGCAAGGTTGAAAAATGACAAGGTAGGTTCACTTTTCCAGCAAGGAAACCTTTAACAGGTGGACTGTTTTCCGCTTTGACTAGAGGAAAAAAAAAACACCAAATTAAACAGTCATGTAAAACCCAAACTAAGTTTATTAAATACTTGAATGAATAAGAAAACCTTACAGAAGTTCAGTAATATCTTCAGGTATGTCAAATAATTAATGTATCTATATACAGAGACTAGTATACCACTTCAAAAATGTTCAAAAGGCAGGGTTTACTAGTGTTAAATTTTATGTACTCGAGTATGGCATTCATTTTAAAGCATTTATAACAGTCCGTAAGTGAAAGAAGACAAGTATAAGAAAGCAAGCAACATAAGAAAAAAGGAAAAAGGTGGACCAGAATCAACAATGCGAATATGGGAAACCCTCAGACACCAGTGGTGGGCGGGTAAATTGGTGCAGCAACTATGAAAAATAACAGGGAGGTGCCTGAAAATTGAAAACAGAGCTACCATATGACCTAGCAGTTCTTTTCCTGGGCATTTACTCAAAGAACATGAAAACACTAATTCAAAATGATATATGTACACCTATGTTCACCGCAGCACTATTCAAAAGAGCTACATGTTGACACAGCCTATACCCACTGGCAGATGAATGGAGATAGCAGGTGTGATAGGCACACACTGCAATTCGAATGGGCTAGTTTTAACAAATGATGAAATGTTGTCATTTGTGAAAACATGGATGGATCTTGAAGGGACTATGCTAAGTAAAATAAGTCATATGGAGAAAGACATACAGCTTATGATTTAATTCATATGGAAGATAGAGAATCAAGGCAAATGATAAAGCAAAAAAAAGTAAACGCTTAGAATCTGCCAACAGAATGGTGGTTACCAAAGGGGAAGAGATAGTGAGGGGTGTGTGAAAGAGGGCCAAGTACTTGAACGGTGGTGAATGGAAACTGTATCACCAATGGTCAATGGCATGTAGGAGAGCTCTACACGTGTTGGTGTGCAAAGCTGTCCATCTGAAGCTTACACAGTGTTGTAAGCCAACATTACCTCAACACAAACTCAGTAGACAGACGAGACAGTATGACAGGCTGGAGGCAGCCTAAATCATAACAGTAACAGAATAATGAAGAAATGTATGACACCGCCACAGAGTGGGTTATTGTGTAGCCTTTAAAAATATAATTTTTTAAGGGCCCCTGCCATAAATACAACTGACCTTAATTGTGTGAAGAAAAAAATGACAGAAAAAGGAAATATGGTAAATGGTAGGCTGAATAATGAAATTAAGGACTTTTTAAATGTTTCTGCATATTGTTTCTATAGCTACTAAATTCTAAATATCATTTTGATAGGAGTAGTAAAGTAAGAAAGAAAAACAAGTCTTTAAAAAGTAGAAGGGTGTATGCTCTGGGTCGCCTCAGCGTTAAAGGCAGGTCAGATGGCATGGCAAGCAGGTGTGTAGGTGGTCACAGAGGCAATGGGAGTGTGAGGGTGGTCTGGCGCTGCCAGGAGGAATATTTTATCATTGACATTGTTTAGAATGGCTAGTGTCTAGTGCTTATAAAAACTGACTTCTCATTGAGCAGAAAATGCAGGTTTAAAAAACTGGAACAATGTTAGGAAGCAGTTAAAAAGTGAAAATTATGTCCATGGGTCTGAAAAGAAAAAAAGTTTGTTAAGATTAGACCTATATTATATAAGAGGAAATGAAAATAAAACTCAAGAAGGAAATAAAAGGAGATCTGACATATACAATATTCCACAGAATACAAATAAATCTATTAACCAACACAGTACTGTACTTATGATAGAAATAACTAATCTACTTCAAATTTATAATGACCATTGCTATCATGTGTTCATCATTACTAATCTATATAGAGCTGTCTAAAAACAGGACTTAAGACACGTAACAAAATTAAAGAAAAATAAAGTAAAGTGTGCTACTAGCTACATGAAGCTAAATTTTAACATGCTAAGATTATTAGCAACTTGAAATAAAGTAGCAAGAGAATAATTCTAGTTTTAATGGCATGCTTGAATTACAAAATATTCTCTGGGCCTCCCTGGTGGCATAAGTCTTACTTAGCACTATGAAGCTATCACTAGCTACTGTGACATAAGTTCCATCCCCAGCCAGGGAGGTGACCCACATGGCACAGCAGACCTCTTCTGTCTTGCTCACTGCTCCCCTCAGCAGTGTATTTAAGTAGGTCTGTCTGTTCTGTTCCTCACTCTGTCTCTGGTGAATCTTCTCACCTCCCCACACCTCTGGCCTACACCTCAGATCTTGTATGGAAAAATGAATAAATTTTAAAATAAATCAATAGTCTTTCTTAAGGTTTACCTTCAGAGTGAATTCACTCCCATCCCTTATTAATGATTCCCACTGACAGAAAGTACCCCTCAAGTATCAACTGGTTGGTGACAGACTTGGGCCAGAACCATGTTCCTTACACTTAAGCAAAGAATTTCTCATCTTTGGTATTTATTGGATTGACCTCCTGTACCTAAATTAAATCACATAAGAAATCTCAGTTTTAGTCCCTCTTTGAGTTTAGATTCCTTAGATTTCCCCCCACCCTTTTTCCTTAATTTGTTTATGTTAACAATTTGGTGAACTTTTTTTTTCTTTTAAAGATTTATTTATTTGTGCATACAGAACTCTGGGGTACAGGCCAGAGGCACAGGGGTGGTGAGGGGTTCACCAGAGTCAGAGTGGGGAGCGAACAGGCAGACTGACGAAGTACACTGCTGAGGGGAGCAGTGGGCGTGTCAGGAGAGGTCTGCCGTGCCATGTGGATCACCTCCGGGACAGGCAAGGATCGAACTCATGCAGCTTAGCTTCCTAGTGCTGGGCTCTAACCCGCTGTGCCACCAGGAAGGGCCAATTTTGTGAACTTTTAAATAAATCTACACTATGGAGGGGATCCCTGAAAACAATCCTCACCTAGTTCATATTCCTCTAATTTGAACCCCATGAGGGAGGTTCAAATTAGATAACACAAAATCACCTTACATATTTTTCCTACCAACAGGGGTCCTAAGTAGTCTGTGTTCTAAAACCCTAATTTATATTCCCTCCTAAAGATGTGTTTAGATTATTAACTAAGTTACAAATAAAAACACTTTTTTAAATGGAAAATAAATTTATTATTAACCTCAATTATGATGTTAATTATGAGATTGTTTATCTTCTCCTTAAAATGAATTGGAGATATACAACTCTCAATTCCTTAATATTTATTACTAAATTACATATGTGAATAGTTCTTTACATAATTTTAGAAGTGTAGGGGCAGATTTGAGATCAATCCAATCCATCTGAATGGGAGTTTCCTGAAACAGTGAGCATTATTTAATAACTGTGTTTTAATAAAAATATGTATTGAACTAAGTGGTGTCAAAAGACAATATTCCCAAGGGTTATTTATTGTTCTGGATGTTTATAGATATAAGAAAATTAAAAGCTTCAGTTAGAGATAAATAAATAGTCATGCAGAATTCAGTCTTTACAAGATTAACAAAAAGCTGTGTGGTCAAGTCTTTTGTGTATGAAATCTTGAATCTTAATGCATTTTGGTCATAAGAACTAAGTTCACTAAATATAAATATTTTAAGAAAGAAATTTAGTAGTTCAGAAGATGTTTATAGATTACGCATGTTAAAAAGAAAAAAAAGGTCTACCTACAAGAATTTGTCTGAAACTCTGACAATGCAAATAATAAAAAAGAATGTTAGGAAAATGTTTGCTGTTCCCATGCGATGGTTTGTGGTCTAAATGAATCACAATCAAGGACATATCTCTAAATATGAATAATTAATTTTATTTCATTCTCTGTCAGTGCAAGGGTGATATAAATTCCACCTTCATAATATGACCAAATACTTAGACAGAGAGACCTTGGCCAAATATATGATAAAGACTATGGGAATTTCTCAAGTAGGAAATACTTTCTTGTTTATTTACTCCTGACTGTACATAACTCCATTTATTGATATTAGAGGAATATCCAAATAAGTAGGTCAATGCTAGATAACCAATTTCAGACATTGGTAAAGCAAAAAGCTCTCCATACATTAAATAAAGGAAAAAGCAATAGGCAACATTTCACTAATTGATTACCCTGGGAGTGCCTGTGAATAAACAGAGAAAACCTTAAGCTGAAGGTACTTGTGTTGAACTCAATAACCAGTTATCTCTATGTACCCCACTGGGAACTTGCTTAATCTGGGTATTATATTTTTAAATTTTGTCCCTTACATGACAAAAATTTCTTCCGAAATTACCCCAACTGTTGAATATTTTGTTGCATATATGATGGTCATATGATCGACTTACAAAGAACTTGATTCTCGGTGTACATGATGGTTCAGATAATGAACTATGGAGCACCTCCTGACTGCATCACTACATTGTGTCTCAGCTGCTGAATCAACTATCTCTCTACATCTTTGGGTACTTTCATTTCCTCCTCTACCAAATGGGGAGAAGAAAATCATCTCCTTCACCAGAGAAAGTGAGATTAAATAAACGATGTCAAATACTTAGAGCAATGCCAACCATATAGAATTACTCAATGTTCTAGCTATTATTACTATTTAAAGATCCTCTCCAGGGGCTATAACAGTAATATTGTTACAGGGTAAAACAATGTGAACTGTGTTGCCTGTCTGTGGATCCTCACCTATGTGTTTAAAATTCAACTAACTGCAGGCATACACAAAAATGGTCAAATGATGGGCTTATTTACAAAGGAGAAAGGAAAAGGAACAACCCAGGGAGAGATAAAAGTTAACTAGAGCATCCTACCAGTTCTACTGACTTGGAACTCCAATGATACACTGAAAGCTCATCAAGAGCCAAGTGACCAGCCACCAGCCACACAGTCCAGAGAGAGCACATCTAGCATGGCTCCCTTATGTAGCCCCAAAAGTCCCAGAGTGCTTGTTTAGCTCTGTCCTTGGGTCCTCGCAGTTCTCTCTGTGGTATTGCTGGGAGTTGTAGTATCAATAACTGGCTAGCGGGTGGAGTCCACAAAACTCTCAGAGTTCCTTCAGGACATCCTTTCCCCCTATTTTTTCCTCCTTGTCTGTAGGAGTTCTTTCTCTGTTTTCAGCAGAAAATCTAAATTTTGTTTGAGTGAAGGAGTGATTGCCCATCCCTCAAGTTTCTCCCATTATTTTATCTGTACTTCTCTTCCTGTTCCTTCCTACACAAACCAACTTTTTGTTTTTCTATGCCTCTCTTTTTATATCTCTTTCCACTGCATGCTGTTGTCCTTTCCTGTCTGTGACTTTCACCTTTACCTCCTGAAAATGCTGAAGAAAATTACTCTTGAGCATTGAACAGATGGGTGGCACCTAGACTCTGACGCCTGGGTAGGCCATTCATTCTGGAATTCATAAATGTGTGTTTTTTTTTTCATTCCTTCACTAATTCATGCAATAAATGAAATGTTTAAGTGCTCTGAACACATGAGGCCCGTTGCTAGAAAATGAAAGTGCCTTTTTGAAGCCCAAAGTCCACTTGTGGAAAAGAAAAAAGAACATTACCAAGAGAGTTGTATGGGCTGTAATAGCTGTAAACAGCACAGGGTAATGGAGAAAGGGCTTTTTAATCAGCCAGAAAGGGGGAATGGAGGTGAGGAAGGCAAGTCATCTCTGAAGTCAGCTCAACCATGATTCCTCACACCCTCACCGCATCTTATCCAGCCCTTTATTAAGTCTAAATCCTTCACCGCCACTTACCCAGATGACTCCTCTCCAGTTACACTGCACCCTCTCTGTATCTTCTCCTCTCCTCTCTAACTCTGGTGATTTTTCTCTGTGGATAACATGCTTTGTTTCTTCAGATCTCAGGGCCAGACATTGCTGGCTCGCTTCCCTTTACCACTCATATCTTAGTTTAATGTTACTTTCTCAAAGAGGCCTTACCACCTCCCCTACCCAGACCACTCTCTATGATCTCATTCTGCTTTATTTTCATGAATTTTAAGTATCTTGATTTTTTGTTTACTTGTTTGTTGCCTGTCTCATATAACCTGGAGGTTAATTTTCAGGAAATCCACAGTCCAAAAATTGGAAATTAGAACACCGTTATTGTTACAAAGCTAAAAACCAAACAAAAGTAGACAGTGTAGGGCACTTATATATTTGAGCGAGACAGAAAGAAAAGTGGGGAGAAGGTGTATGAGGAGAGGAAAAGGAGGAAAGAAAAAAGAGAAAATAAAAGGGTGGGTAGGGGAGAGAAGCAAGGAGACAAAAACTTGGCTAACAGCTTTCTCGTTATCTTCTTGACCCTTCAAACTCTGGTCTCCAGAACTTTTTATTGTCTCTTTTTTTAAATGAAAGTCTGAGTAGTATAGAAAGTGGAATTTTAAAAGATGCCGTATAGAAGCCATTTTACACAGTCTGAAAGGAATCTTGGAAGCTACCGAAAGCCCCCTGGCTTCTTCAGTGTCCCATTCATTATTTTGTTTTAATTTGTTTATTTGATACTACTGTTTCCAGCCCACTAATATGTTAACTATGAGTGTTCAGGGCCAACTATATCAAAAATTAATTCTTTATTCTAGTGATTCTAGCCCTAGTCCTTATAGTTTATTTCAATTATTACCAAAGAAATCATCTCCACACTCACCGTTTTGCTGCGCATGGGTTGCTATTAAGGTAGAACACATCCACAAGATGCTCTTTATATTTATCAACATCTTGTCCTAGAAATGAATAAAAGTACAAAGTAAATAATAAGCATTCAAGTTGGTGGCAGGTCATAAATCATGTGCTATTTACAAATTGTATATCATGAGTGTCTGAGAAGCAGCACTTCTTGAAACAAAAACAGGAGGGCACTTGTAATGAGTTGTCCCAACACTTTAATTATTCATTTGAATTTCACCCAATCTGCTAGCTACCAAAATAATTCCAGAACTCAGTTTGGAACATAGAACAATGTGGATTTGTGGGGCAACCACAACTGAATAGGCTGCAGGAAGAACAATAAAGACACAGCCTAAGTAAGTAGTGGCTAAGAGCTGGCATAAGTTGGCAAGGGTGACCACAAAGTCTATTTAGAAACAGAAAACTGGTCATGAATGGAGCAAAAGAGGATGGAAAACAACACTGAAAGAAATTTGCACCAAATGTGAGGTGGGCAGGAACCTGTTGATGCTTCATCCATAAGCCCAAAGCAGAAGATAAGGACTTCAGCAGATACTTTAAAGAACAGAGTAGATATATAACAGGGAACTGAAAAAAAGAGTTTGCTATGAATTTTAAAGCATTCCCAATGGCTTTAAGGTCTGAAGGATAGAGAATAAAAAAGAAAAAGAAACACCTGCATGAGTCTAGAGACCTTGCCTCACATAGCAAAAATAGTTCTGCTATTAATACATATATTGTGTGACTTTGGGGAAAACATGTAATAATCTGGGTCTCATAATGGTCCCTTGTAGACTGAATTTCTCTAAAACTATAATTATAAAAAGCATAAGTACCGGGTCCTCCCTGGTGGCGCAGCGGGTTAAAGCACAGTACTAAGAAGCTTAAGCCACTTCCACATGAGTTCGATCCCCATCTGCCCGGGAG